TCTTTCCAATCAAATCAATATGTACCTTGTCATATTCCGCCTGAGCAAGCCTCCATTCCTTGCTAAGCCACCGCTTGTGCAGCGTCACATCCCATTTCTCATCTTCTTTCATCTCAGCAATTACCACATCATGTTTGGCAGCCTCCCAGCGCTTGACTACATCATTATATTTTGCTTTTAATTCGGCTTCAGCAAACGTAGATAATCTCTTTATTCTACTCTCCAGAATAAGTGCATACTCCTCCCCCTTGGGTTGAAACTCTTTCCACTTTTTCAGTTCGGCATCGTACTTTGATTTGACCTCATCCCAATCGGTACAATCATTCTCTGCTTGCCACAAACCCAGCTCTGTGAGGGACGCATTCAGGGCTTTGCAAAGGGCTTCACCATTGGACTCTTCTTCTATACGATTAAAAAACATCTCCCTTGTCCTATAGAGCTTATCTGCAACGTTGTCATAACCTTCTGCCTTCAGCTGATAATACATACACAGGGCTATGCTACACAACTTGTACCATTTTGTCCAATATGGAGAGCTATCACTGTAAACATATTCCATTGTGCGAGACAACTCTGCACGATGCTGGGCTATTTGTGCTTCCTTGGAGTCATCTCCGTACATGTATTTCATGCAGTCTGCATACAACGAATGTATCGTATACGCAGCAGTATACCGTTGTTCAACACTTTCAGTAACAACTATCTCTGCCTTGTGTTTTTCTCTCCAAGCGAGATAATACTCTTTAGTGCCCCTCTGTGTTCTTTCTGCAAAAGCCCGTTTCTCATACTTTTCCTTTTTAGCAGCCGCTTCAGCCTGTTCGGTGGATTTACAACACTTGACAGTGTCATCATAGTTCTTTAGCAATTCTAAATCTTTAGCAGAGTGTGGATCTTGTTTGGCTTCTTCCTGCAACTCAGCAACACTTTTACCAATGTGATCACACAATAATTCCGATATCGGCGCAAAACTCTTGATGCACGAGTTAATATTTTTCTCCAAGTTTACCGCATATTGATCGCCTTTGGGTATGAACTCATTCCACTTGGCTAGTGCGGAGTCGTACTCTGGTTTGGCCTTATCCCAGGCGACACGATCATTCCATCTTTCCCATTTATTCAACGCTCCCACGGCCGCATTCCGAGCATCGCGAAAGGCCTCACTATTGGTTTTTATACGATTACAAAACGCTTCTCTTGCCCTTTCAAACTCCTCTGCAACGTTTCCATAACCTTCTGCCTTAAGCTGATAATACACCCACTCGGCTTTGCTACACAACTTGTACCATTTCGTCCAATATGGAGAGCGATAAAGACAATCAACAAATTCCATTGTGTGAGACAACTCTGCTCGATGCTGGGCTATTTGCACTTCCTTGGAGTCAGCTCCGTGCTTGTGTTTCATCCATTGTGTGTAGCACAAATCTCTCTTATACTCAGCAGCATATCTTTGTTCAATCTTTTCAATAAAAACCATTTCTGCCTTGTATATTTCTGTCCAAGCGAGATAATACTCTTTGGTGCCCTTCTGTGTTTTTTTTGCTAAAGCCCTTTTCTCATCCACTTCCTTCTTAGCATCTGCCTCAGCTTGTTCAGCGGCTTGGCAAATCTTGGCTGCAGCATTATATTTGTCCTGCAATTCAGAATCCGTGTTCATGGTTGAATTTAATAATAATGTAAATATCTACATGTGGAAGAGAGTGGGACACAAAATTTTGGAACAGTCAACAATGTGAATTAAAGGTGATTCAGTTACAGCAATTATGAGGAAAAACACGACAAACAAACAAGACTAGTAGACTCAACACATCATCAATCTTTAAACAAGAGAAAAACACAAAAGAAAAATCAACATTGCTTTCTTTCCATTATTAACTATTATTATTATTATTATTATTATTATTATTATTATTATTGTTAACAGTACGTATACATACATATATATATATATATATATATATATATATGACAATAATATGGAATGGTAATAGTGAACGTAATGACTATTCGTGATAGTACTTAAACCACTAAAACAAAAACAATATCATTAACATTAAGAAACAAAAAAGAAGAAGTAACTCCCAACAGGTGGAAGATTAGTTAGACTGTAGGGATGCATGCAAAAAAAAAAAAAGAAAACAAAGGATGACCTGAGTCACCACACCACCATACCAATCACAATCAGCATACAAGAATACAGGCCAGTGTAACCACAATCAGTAGTGGTACACGCACCCACACAGAACTGCTGATACTGCTGCTGCTGTCTGCATCACCCTTCTTGTTATTTGTGGGTTCAGGAGGAAGTGTTGTAGTAGTGGTATCTGTATTTTCCACGGCACCTTCTGGCTTACTCTTTGTCTCACTCCCCGTTGTTGTACTGCCATTCCCAGTTGTTGTACTTTCAGAACCATCACCACTCACTGTGTCCGAAGTGTTAGGAGAGTCAGCAGAAGGTTGTGTTGCCGTAATTCCATTGTTATCTCCATTTCCACCCTCACGTGGTGTATTGTTGCCCTTGATTCCAGTTTGGCCATCATCTGAAGACTGAACAGCACTCCCCTCAGGAGGATTAGGATCAGCAGGAGGTGTAGGAGTAGGAGCAGGAGGTTCAGAAGAAGAAGAAACAACACCCGAAACAGCCTCACCAGCCGCAGCCTCTCTGTGTTCAGCACTAGCACCAGGGGAACCTGTTTTACCATTTAGATGAACTTCTTCTTGTGGAGTAGGTGTAGTTCGACCTGGTTCCTGTGGTGGGTTCGGACATGTATCACCAGAACCATTATCACAATTGACTTCTTTCTTAGTCTCCTTAGGAGTGCAACCGTCCTTCTCAGGAGATTCAACACAATTAGTACGAGAAGCTTCTGGGTCACTATGGGCGGCATTACACGTGGGATCAGGAGAGCCTGAAGAGCAAGCATCGTTACCACCACCACCAGATCGTGATGGTGCTGGACCTGGAGAACCTGGATCTGTAAGATCGGCTTGAAGATTATCTTCAGCCGCCACGCACACACAGGCAACACTCAAAAACACTGCCGTAAGATACAGTAGTCGTCGTAGCAACAACATGAAAAAAAGTTACCCGTTTCGCTGAATGTAACCAAACTTCAAAGAAAAACAAAGAAGAGAACCAAATTAAGTAACGAATATACACACACAAACACATACACAATCGGCTCACAAGAAGAGAAGAAAACACAGCAAAAACAATATACAAGGCTACCAGCAGATGTATAAAAGAGCACAATAAGCGGCAACACACACAAACGTCCAAAACACAAGTTAAGAATACGACCAGCGAACCCAGCAAACGCAAAAACAAAATAAGCGAAGATTATGTTGGAGTTAATATGCAATTATAAATGTAAATATGTTTCACCGTTGTTTATTTTTCTCCTTACGAAGCAGACTACTACAGTGAAGGTCAAAGCCCATAACGACCCGAACAAACCACAAGCAAAGAAAAAAACACATTAACCATTAGCCCAATTTACACAGTAAACACAGAAATATATACCAACTATGGGTGTACATCTAGATGTGTGTATATACGCAATGATAAATATAAATTCATCTGTTATTATTATTTATTTTCTTTTTTCCCACTGCAAAAAACAAACAGTTCATCATCATCATTACAGTGCAAGCCCAGGTGCACACAGAGAGTGTGTCCAATAAAACACACAATACCCCATGGCTCTAGTTTATGTGTATTAAATTATTGCAAACACACACATCTGTGTGTACTAGCAAGAATAAATGTGTACCGTCAGTGAGCAGAACATCCCAGTTTTCTGCAGACACACAACGGGAAAAGCAAGTAATGGAACTATTAGAAAAAAGAAGACACACACACAAAAGTAAAAAAAAAAAAGATATTCGAATTAAAAGAGAAAGCTGGTAAACAGATTATTAATTTATTCACCCATGAGGGATGTACGCAATTATGATTATGTTAGTTTAACCATTAATATTATTATTTGTCCTCAAGTGAGTCCCACCGTTCAGTACACAGTAAAGGAGAACAACACACCCACAATCAACAGGGGTGCTGCAGTGCGCATCCACACAGGATTGACACTGCTGTCAACATTGGGTCTGTTCTTCATAGTGGAAGCGACGTTGTTGATATCTGCGTTGGGTACAGGAACAGGAGGAAGTGTTGTTGTTGTTATGGTGGTGGTGGTAATGGTAGCAGTGGTTGATTCCTCATTACTGGATGTGTTGGCATTGTTTGAGTCCATGTTCGCTGAGTTATTGTTATCAGTTGTACTTACACCCGCAGTGGGTTGGGTAACAGAACCACTCGTTGTATCAACTGTGTTGGTAGAGAGATGAGCTTCATTACTATTTCCCGTACTATCTTTGGCATTTGGTTCATCCCTTTGGTTTCCCTCATCAGTATTTACCGGCTGAGTTAACTGTTTTCCTGAAGAATGCAAATTTTCATGCGCTGAGCCATGTTCCCTCTCCTGTTCTACCACATTAGAATCAACATTCTCAACAGGTTTAGGGGTTGCAGCCGGTACGACCTTCTCCAGCCGATCCATGTTTGCTGTTGCCTCTACCCCAGAAGCGCTTTTGTCTTCATTAGTCTTATGTAGTCCATCTGTATCGCTTAAAGGAAAACTCGCTGCACGTTTGTTGCCAAGAAGGTCAACTGGGGTAGCTGGTGGTTTTTCTTCTGGACCCTCGTTCCAATTAAAAATGTAACCGCCATCTGAATGATTTCTGTTGCCAAAAAAAGCCATCACCGCCTTTGGCCGTCCAGCATTAACAGTAGTAGCAGTAGTAGTTGTTGCTGTTCTTGTTGTTCTTGCGGTACGCTGGCGGCAGAGGTCTGCGTACTTCACACATGCAGGCACACGGCTGCCCGCACCGCATGTAAGCCACTCGCTCTCAGCAGCGGGGCGTACACGCAGCGCACCGCCGGCCCCGCACGACACCTCCACAGCCCCACGGGATACACCACGGCCACTGGGACTGTCATTATCAACAACAGCAGCAGCCGCCATGGTATACCCGCAGGT